ATTGGGTTTTGTATTTTATATATTATGTACATGCAGTGTATGTTTCTTATAACTTAGGCATATATATATACATATATATATATATATATATGTATGTTTTGTAAGGAATCATTAAATGTACTAGTATATGAAGGCCCTGACTTGGTGAACATTTTTTTTTGGATTTTAAATTTAGTTAGATGACATCATCTTTGTAAAATGTATGTTATCCTCACGTGCATAACTTGACCTAATTACATAATCGGATTAAGGGTAATATACTTTTAATTCAAAGTTGTCGGAATGACTTCTCTTAACTCACTAGAAAATTGTTTTCGACGATTTTAAATTACAAGTATATCCCATCAGTGACACAAAAAAAAAAGTGATTGTTCACTTTAAAATTTGGGAATAAAAGAAAAAGAAATGTTTGACTATTTAAATTTGTCGAGAAAAGATCGTTAGAACTCACCTAAAGATTTGGTCTCGATATTTTTAAATAATCGAATATTCTTTATCTTTCTGATGGCTTGGTAATTTTAATTTAACCTATTTCTTTTCTTTTGAATATCATAAAATTCACATTTTTGTTGTTTTAAAGGATCAAAACTCAAATTAAATCTGAGTTTGTAAATTTCATTACAAATATATTAATTAATCGACTAGGTATCGATTTAGGGCATTGTGGGGTGCTAATCCTTCTCCACGCGTAACAGACTCCCGAACTCAATTTTTGGTAACGCATACCTCAACTTGTTGTTTTAATTAAAATTAATTTTTTATTTAAAATGACAATATTTTTGGGTGCCCTATCACACTCTAATCAAAGATTGGTGCCGACTCCTCGAACCGTACGTTTTATTTTAAAAAGGAATCCCAAATTTTTCGAAACGAGAGGTTTTCTAAAACCACAATATTTTTTTAATTAAAAATCAACCATAAAGAGAATAATTAAAAATGGCGTGGTTTTCGAAATCTCACACTTTAAGAAAAAAATCGTTTCGACATTATGTCCGCACGGTGAATAAATTCACACGAAGACATAAGGTATATGAATCCCGAAGGCTACTTGCTAGGCATGCACGGTGAATAAATTCACACGAAGGCGTCACTTTCACCCCACTTAAATATGGTTCAAAGCTCAGGTTTAGAGCCTTAAGTGAAAAATAAGCTCGGAAGGCTAAAATCATTAAAAAAAACAGTTAATACAACTATTTACTCGAAAATATAATCAAAAGTAAGCAATAAGGATCGAAATGTTACCTTAAAATTTAAACTTACCATTTTTGTTAAAAAGACAACTGAAAATTACCTTAGCCTGACTCACTTACATGTCCCCAGTGGAGTCGCCAGGCTGTCGGAACCGCCTTTCGGTTGGGCCCGGAATGGGGCTTTGACTTAGGAAAAATGATTTGGGAGTCGCCACTGATCTTTTATTTTAAACAAATAAGTAGATCGAATACCTTATTTCTTATCTGGTCTGCATCTTACCAAAGAAGTGTCGGGTTCGGGAGTCGGTTACAGTCAAGGAAGGGTTAGCACCCTTGAACTGCCCTTTCGGTACTACGTATTTTTCAGTTGTCTTAAATTAAAAAAATTGTAATTTTAAATGAAAAGGTAAAAATAATTATCCAAATTACTTACCTTAGATTGGTTTAAAAGTGTACTCTTAAAAAAGTTAAAGAACGTGTCAGATAAAAAAAGAAAATAAGATAATAAGAAAAAAATAAAGAAAATATAAAAACAAATAAAAATAAGATGGTGAGATAAAAAGAGAAAAAAGATTAAATAAAAAATAACCACAAAGAAGATAAAAGAAATGAAAATATAAAAAGATAAAGCAAAATAAAATAAAGAAGATAATATATTAAATAGATAAAATCAAGAGTAAAATAAATTAAATAGAGAAATTAAATAGATGTAAAAGAAAAAAATTAAGATAAAGATAAAAAAAACATAATGAAATAAAAAATAAAAATAAAAGGGGAAGATAATAGTACAAATATATGTAATAATAATATGTTCAAAACATAAATAAGAAACATGAAAAATAAAACAAAGGATAAATATGTATATATATATATATATATATATATATATATATATTAATGTTAAAATAATAATATAAACATAATAATAATATATAGTATTTAAAAAAAGGAAAAATAAATTGACTTAAAAAGGATTAAATTTTAAGAAACGAAATGTGAAGGTCAAATTTTGAAGAAACATCAAAATGTAAATCAAATTTATGGTCAAAACAAACACTTCAAAACTGAGAGGGACCAAAACGGGGATTTCCCCATTTTAATTTGAAAACACACGGATCCCCTAGGGGATCCGCTCGGGTCGATTATGGGCTATAATATAAAAACCAAATTTTTAAAAAAAATGCTCATTCTCTCCTTCACATGCTGAAGCCCTTCCCCCCATCTCTCTAATTCTCTGGCTTTTCTTCAAAAGCGAAGAACAAGGCCTGGGTTCTCGATGAACCTAGTATCCAACCACCAACGTCGCCTCGCCGGTCGCCGGTCATCGACGACGAATGTAAAAAATTTTGCGTTTTTCAAAAAGATTTTCCTTCCCTCTCTTCAAATATCCAATTTGTTTTTTCAAAAACTTTGCGGGGAAGCGTATATCTAAAAAAGAAATCTCGAATTTCTTTGTTATTTTCTAACGTTTTTCGGGTCATAAAACAAGCGCAAACATCACATGCATGCTAAGGATAACCGAAACAAAAGGTAAAATGCTACCTTTCTTTATTTCTTTCTTGTTTTCAAACGCTATAAGTGCTTGGTTTTTTTTTTTGCGATTTTTTTTAGTATTTTCTCTCGTAAATGCTCTCTGTAAACTCGTAGGAAATTCGTAGTCTTGAATGAACCGATTACATTTGATTTATATGCGTTACAGAGTCCTATTTTTAGACTATTATAGAGTCCTACTTGACTCGGTTTGCTTGGTTGCGGTTGAGGGAGCCGTGAAAATCGGCGGTGGTCTCGGTCGGGGGAAGCGTGGAGCGTATGGACTCTTCATGGTTGAGGCTTGTGGCTCTGGGGAGCAGAGGCTAGGGTTCCAAAAACCCTACCTTACTGATGTGGGTCGTGTGTTTCATTTGCTGGGCCACGGGTTATTGATTCTGGGCCTGTAATATGTAAAAATATGAAGTGTAAATATATATATAAATATATATTAATAATATTCTAACGTAAATATGTTATGTGTAATAATAGTGGACAATTTTTAGTGTATTCACCCATCACATCATCGTCGAAATCCTAATTTAGTTAAGTTATTCATCTCATATTATTATTCTTATTTTTACTTGTTTTTATTTTAATTTATTTTCTTTATCTTATTCTTCTTATTCAACTTCTAGCAAACCTAATTGTTGTCACCCCTCCATCTCTCTCCCCTTTATTATTTGATCGAGTCTAGATCTTTTTAGATTTGATAATTCAACGACGAGTAACGTTCATCATTCTCCTGCCATCTCCTATCAATATTATTCTTAATAAATTAACATAAACTAACTCGATTAATTGAATATTCATTAAAAAATTAATAAAATTTTAAGATTTGAGTTCCATCAATAATTCCATTTGACTGGTAAAAATTAAGATTCACTTATAATGTAAATTGTGCGATAAAACAAAAATTTTGTTTAATTATAGAAACCTTTATTATGAAAAAGTTCTTGTCATGAAATGCGAAATGCACGTTTTTTTTAATATAAAGAAACATATATTTCTATTCTCATATTTATTTCGGTATATTCTATTAATTCAATATTAATTGAGCTATTGTTATGTCTTAAAAATATTAATGCGAACTCATCAAGTGGTCTCAGTAGTTAAAAATAATATTATTCTCCTTTGAAATCTTAAATTCAAACAATTGTGTCTGTAAAATATACGTGCGATATAACTAATTAATAAATATTATAAGAAGATATTACCTTTCTAATCATCCTAAACTAAAAGAAATTTCAAAAAAATATTGATGCAGTTGAAAAATAACTTAAGTTTACTTTTTTTACTTTCTTTAACATTTTTATATATATTTTAGACATGAACAAAATAATTAAAATATATTATTTAAAAATTAAACACAAAATCAATGTATATTCATATACAATTCTTTTACTCTCACACCCATAATTGTTTGCTAATATATATATATATCACATAAAAAATTTATATGAAATTAATATAAATAAAATTTCAGAACAAATATAATCAATAAAATAAATCATTAATTAAAAAAATTAAATTTCAGAATATACATATATTTACCATAACATAGACATACATTAGTCATTTGAGACCACAATAGTTGCTGCTACTGAGATATAATGAGTTGCTGGTGAGAGAGTCGTTCCTCTTAAAAAAAAATCAATTATTATATAACTTAAATATATTTTATATTAATAATTTTATTTTTAAAATTTTATAAATTTATCCTTTTAATATAAAATTTTACCTTCATTATTATTTAGATGTATATACTTATAATGGAGGGACGAAAAGCAGTCAAGATAAATATTAGAAAATTTAAATTATCTTATATTTAAATAAATATATATATATATATATATATATATTAATAATTTACTTTTATCTTTTTAAGTTTTTATAAATTTATTAAAATTTTAGATATTCACTTCCTAACATAAATTTTAGGTCGACAGATGTATATAATAATTAAGTCTTATAATGTTTATTTAAATATTCATTTCTATTTATAGTTGTAACTTTACATGTAATTATAATTCTTCCATAGAAATATTAATTTTTTGAATAATAATAACTATAGATTTCATTAATAAAATAATCTAAGAGAAAGTTTGAGTTATATTTTACATTCTTCACAACCACTAATATGCAAAATCAAATTTCTCATCTTTTCAATTATTTTTTCTTTGTTTTAAAAATTTTATATAAATATTTAATTGAGTTGACTATATTTTACATTCTTTTTTTCTCACATTGCAAATAATAATTTTATTAAAAAGATAAAAAAAAGGCATGAAAATATCATTTTTTATTAATTGAAAAGGAACAAAAGAAGCAACCAACGACCATCCCTACACCAACAACTAGCCAAGCCGGCCGGCTCTAGGCAAGCGGTTCATCCCTATAATTTTGTACTCTATTAATTACCGTTTATATTGTTCATTTTTTAACTCTCTATTTACTTTTTATCCCTGGAAAGTTGTAATATTTACATTTTGGCTTCTTTTTTTGGAATCTAATTATGATTAGTCTGCTTCGTCTTCCCCGTTCAGTTCTCACATGACGAAACAGGCGTTCGGATTTTCATCACTGAACATCTGAGGTGCATGAAGGGGATGACGTGGGTCCATCATATACCCTTTATTCACGTATCCGTAATCCTGATGATGAATCTGATACTCTTCGACCGCGTAACTCGAGCCACCACCGTACACGTTTCCGTCCGACCAGTACATTGGCTGATGAGGATATCCGTATCCATGATACTCCATCTTGCTCACCTCCATCTTCGTTTCACCACCGCCGCCGCCGTCTTCCTTCTTCTCCCCACCTTCCTTTTTCTCTCCGCCGCCTTCTTTTTTCTCTCCGCCTCCTCCTTCCTTCTTCTCACCACCGCCTTCTGCAGCTTCTTTTGGTTTCTCTTTCTTCTCACCGGCGGCGTCTTTCTTCTCACCGGCGTCGTCTTTCTTCGGAGGAACCACATCTACATTTCGTCTTAACTTTTGCTTCAGGAAAGGGACCAGGTCTTTGACGTCCATTGTGCCTTTCACGGTTACCAAATCTTTAGCTCCATCCACGACGACCGATTGAACTCCTGTTTTAATTTTTTTACAAAAAATCAGGATTACCTTTTGTTTAATTAAACAAGATTTTATTATCTTAAGCCATTAATTTAATATTTAATTAATGGTAATTAATTAACTTACCATCAACCTTCAAGATGATTTTTCGAATTTTATGAATGCAACCATCGCAATGTGTTCTGATCTTCAACACCACCGTACTCTGTAACCAATAAAACTTAATCAAAATCAACATTTCCCCATATACTTCGCATGACTAAACATGCGCAGGTTAGAACATTTTTTTTGTTTGGTAAAATTACCTCTTTAGATGGCTTTTTTCCTTCTTTCTTCTCTTCAGTTTTCTTCTCAGCTTCGGGCTTTTTATCACCGGCGGCGACATCCTTTTTAGGTTGAGGAGAAATAAGATCTACTTTCTTCTTCGTTTTCTCAGCCAATCTCTCTCTGATTTTGGCGGGATCAATTTTGCCAATCACCGTCAGTTTGTTGGCTCCATAATCCGTCTCCACATCTTCCACACCTTCCACCGACAACACCACCGATCCGTGTTAGGTAATTTTCGGTTAGATTTTAATTACACCAATGTTTAAGATTCCTGGATCAAAATCTGAAACATAATTATAGTTATTTAACCTGGGTTAACTACCTTCACAATGTTTAATCGAGCGTTTGATCTTCTTGGCACAGCCTTCACAATGCATATCAATGTTGTAAACGACGGTGACGCTGCCGTCATCTTTCTTAGCGCCGACATCGGCGGCGGGCTTCTCCCCGGCTTCAGGTTTAGCTCCTTCCTTTTGCTGGTTAAACAAATAACAAAGCAATATAAGCAAAACGAAAAAACCATAATCTCTTTTAAGGATCGAAAGGGAAAATAAACTTAGAATGTCCAAGAGCTAGTAACTAACCTCACCCATAGGTTGACTGAAATTCTATTGTTTTTAGCTGGGAGATTGAAAGGGTTAGTATAGAGCTGTTTGAAGAGGAGAAGTGGAGGCAAAGAAGCGAATATATAGAGAAGAGAGGCGGTTTATGGGTTATGTATGCATGCATCTATGTATGATGATGATGATGTATGTTATGTATGGTGGCTCGTGAAAGAAATCTCTTATGATGGATGATGGGTTCGGCATGTCTTATAAGTGATGAAGTCATCAAGGGTGGACTAAGCAGCTTTTTGACTACCTTCTGACTGTTTAGTGGAATGACGGAAATACCCTTACTAATAATCGTATTTACGTTTTTTATGCGGGTAGTTTTGGGATTTCACTATACATTCCACATGTGTAACCGTGACTAGAAAGGTTTGTGATTTTGAAAGTTAGGAGAAGAACGTTTTAATAGGCCGTAATTGAAGTGAATACACGTGGTTATATTTAGGTGTTTAATATTTTTTTAATTTATAATTAAGCACAAACCATCTTATTTTAGTAGTTAAGAGATTCGTTATTCTCTTTAAAAAGTACGGGTTCGAATATCAACAGGGGTATAAACGTTTATTGTCCATTATTTTAGAGTCTTTAATTAGATAATACCTTATATTTACCTGGAGATTTGAAAATATAAATATTGTATGTTTAAAAAGTAAGTGAACCACAGTAATTAAGATTGGTAAGAAAAGTATTTGTCAACTAACCTAAATAGCGTTTTTACTACTAAACTCTAGAAGGTTTAAAATTGTAGTAAATTGACAATGATAACTTGGGTTGATTATGTCCAAATTGGAATAGTTGTGGCCTCCTGCGTAGATGATTACTAGAATTTTTTTGGGTATATTACTAAAAAAATAGCTTCAAAGCTATTACAAAATTAAAAGATTAAGGGATTTGGATTCCCTGTAAAGAACCTTATTTATAGAATCACATCAACATTCTCATCCCAGCTATTACATGATTTGTCCTTCAAAAGAGCTATAATCCATGCTTACTTCTCATCCCAGCTCCCCTCTGCTTTGTAGACATTGTACAATTTGAGAATGACCTCCTAAATCTTCATTTAGAAAGGAGACGCAAAGAAAATATGATCCCGAGATCCCTGTACACCACCATAATTTTCGCAGAGCACATCCATTGAAAATCCAATCCTAAGCAAACGATCTGTAGTAGGCAATCTATCAAGAATTGTTATCCATGCAATAATTACATGCTTAAGAACATTTACAGAGAATCACAACAACATGTGACATGCAACTCTCTCATTCTTTTCTCTAATCTCAGACCAAAACCATCTTATTTTAATCATTGTTTAGCAACAATGATTGAACCTCATTCCTCATCTTCAAGATTTTTCTTAAGCTCCAACTGAAATTTGACTTGCAATCAACTTACCAAAAATTAACTTCTTTAAGAACATACTCTCAAGCCCAGACAACCCATAATGAACCTTATTCAGCAAAGATGTTTCTTATAAAAGAAAGCACACATGTTTTATTACAACATTTCAGACTTTTAACCCCTAGGTCACCCTCTGCCTTAGGAATACGAATATTTTTCGATTAACCCTAACTCCCCTTGTAGAGAAATCCTTCCCCTTCCAAAAAAACTTATAGCGTAGATGGTCAACTATTTTAATCACAACAACATGCAAAATAGATGCCTGCACTAAAAATTAACAACGCTAAACAATACAATCCCAATGAGTTGCAGTCTGCCTGCATAGCTAAGTCACATGTTGGACTAATGCCCCAATTTTACTTTAATCTTCTCCACCAAACTAGCACAATCCTTTACTGTCAACTTACGAGAGACTAAGAGAACCCCGGATATCTAACAGGAAACACTCCCAGCTTAAAACCAGTTGCCTTATTAATAAGAGCCAAATGAGCAGGGGAGATATCTGATGCAAACAACTCAAACTTAATTGCATTAAGCCTCAACCTAGAAAATTCATAGAACATCTTAAGAACATACTTGATACCCAAGTTAGAGTCTAAATAATCCTTACAAAGGATAAGTAAATTATCTTCAAGGCTCATATGAGTTAACTTCACTTTTTTTATATTCAGAGTGAAACTGAAAAATCTTCTAGACAACAACTTAATCCACCATACAAAATAAAATATTCATAACAATGACAAAGAGATAAGGGAGAAGTGGATTCCCTTGCCTAATTCCCCTCATGCCTAAGTATTGCGTTGTTTCTACTTAAGGTGGGAAATCACTTTCAGGGTTTAATTTTCTCTACGTTCTTTACATATTTTTCTTCAAGAAAAATCATGATTCCGGGGGGCTGGTGTTTGGACTTTTCTTGATGAATAAGGCTTGTCTTTCATTTGTCATTTTCAAATCTATTTTTTCTACCCTCGTTTGCGTATGGATGGAGATTTTTTATATATTAATAATGTGAAAATTGCAAACATAAATTAGTAAGTGAATCGAAACTAAAAAAAATTATTACTCATACCGACCTATAACCATGCTAAAATTAGAAATAATAGTTTTTTTTTTTCAAATTTAATGAGTTTTAATTCAACTCGATCCAATTTAATAGAGAAAAGTTTTCTTTGGAAAAAAGGAATTCAGAACGAATCATATAAATTTTAGGAAATCAAGAGTCATAATTAGAAATATTAGTGTATAACTCTTCTTACAAATCATAGATCTTCGAGCCTTCAACAGTAAGATATCAAAGGAAGAAAACTTGTAATACCAATTTTATATAAAAACTTTTTTCATCACTTGAACAGAGTTTAAAGATTTAACTCTATATAATTCGATGGAGTATAGATTCGATTTCGGACTAGAGGAACTATGTTATATCCCCGAAGGGATAACCTAAGAATTAACTGTAATTCCTACACACTTTACAGTTTCTTTCTTTTTCTCTTTTCATTTTTATGTTGAACGTTGTTGCCTCTCTCCTAAAATTCTCTTGTCGCTTCTTTCTTTTTCATTTTTTCTCATCTTCATTTTCATTCATATTCTCTCCTCCATTTTCGATATATATTTTCTTTCTTCACATGTTCTTTGATTTAATCTAGATTTGAGTTTCGTCTAAAATTTTGACATCCCCAAAACTTATATTCATTGTGTAGGATCATTCAATTTCCAAACTTTGTCTACTTTCTTAAAAAATTGTCTCCAAATATGATCAAGTTTTAATTATTTTCGTCGCACTAATTCGATCGTTAATTGATTTGGAATCATTTGAAATTTTATTTCTTGTGTGTGATTTATTTTATGTTAATTCCACGTTGATTATTTTTTTGTTTTACAAAATCCTAATATACTATTATCTTAATTAACATGTAACATATCAAACACAACCCATAAATATTTGGTCCGTTAACGAGTGTCACATTAAAGCCACTAGAATAATTTATAATTTTAGAACTTTAAATTCATTGATTTAAATAGAACAAGTACCATAAATCAATGCTTATGTAAACATAAGGGTCAATTACACGTTTAGTACTTAAATTATCAGTTTTGTTTCGTTTTAGTATCTATATTTTCATTTGTTTCAAAATCATATGTAACATTTACTTTTTGTTTTATTTTAGTATCCCGTCGTTAAAATTTTAACTACGTGACATTTTCTATGGGTAAATTACATCATTTGTCACTTAACTATCTTCTAACTCCTATTTTGGTCACTAAAGTATAAAAAATTTCAATTTAACTACTCAACTTTCAAATTGCTCATGTTTTAATCAATCTAATTTATTTTATTAATAATTTTTGTGACATGAAATATTTTATTAATTAATATATATATATATATATATATATATATAATATTAAATTTAAAAGCTTGAGTGATTAAATTAGGAGTAATTTGAAAGTTAAGTAATTAAATTAAAAAAATAAATTTTGGCGACCAAAATAGGAGTTGGAAGATAGTTGAGTGATGAATGATGTAATTTACCCAAAAAAATTGTCATGTTGTAACAACTCCGTTAAGTTTTTAAAAGTGAGATACTAAAACGAAACAAAAAATAAACGTTAGATATGATTTTAAAACAAATGAAAGTTTAGGTACGAAAATGAAATTGATAATTTATCCAAACATAAATACAAATATAAAATAGTTTATGTAAAATCAAATTTCTAAAGTTTACATCGTATATAAATAAGTACGAATTATAAATCAAGAGTTTACAGACTGAAGTCAAATGATAAGGGTCTTACGACAAACATGCTCACTATAGAGAACAAGGTCTGTACTTTGAATCAACTACTGTTAAAACTTCTTCAAATATGTCAATTAAAAGTGCAAACACAATATTTTGCATCCATTAAATGTGTCAACAATCTTTAGAGTAAATGATTAAAAGTTCTATGCTGACATTTTTCCTTTTCTCTAGGTTATGAACTCAATATCTATTAGCCGTTAGGAGCAAAATTCATCTTTCCATATCCCTGTGTAATAAAATTTATCAAAAAAAAAAAGGAATACATATCGATTCGTTGAATATAAAAATTTATATTTGAAATATTTAATACATTAACGGTATATAATTCTTATTGACGTATGAATAAATATAATTTTGAAATTTTATAATAATGTGTCATCGTCTAATCCATTAAGATCACAACTTGTGCTTTGATCAAATATTGATCTTATAAGATGTGACTAACAAATATCCATGACTTGAATCAAGCCATTGAATTTTTTCATTCATATCCGATCCGAATTTAGACAAGTTGAACTCGAATTTACAAGTACAACCACTCATCTCCTCCCTCCATTTTCCTCGTTCTAATTTAGTCAAAATTGCAACGGTGAAGATTGTTTAAAATGTTTGTGGAGAAGCAGGAGATACTACATCCGGCTGGAGAAAAGCAGAGGAAGAGCCAAACACCGAAAAGAGCGGGGAATCGAGCGAGTCAAACGACTCGAATTCTGGTCCTATAAATAAAATCCCATTCCCCCCTTTAATTCAATCCCCTGTTCTCTCTTCCTCTTTGGAGTTTCAATCTCATTTTCTCTTCTTTCAGATCTCGTAAAAGGTAGCCTCCATTTTATCCCTTTGTTCTTTCACTGTATGATTTGAATTTTGGATTTTGGATTTGCTGCTGCGTTCTTTTCATGTTTAGAACAGATCTATTCTAATATTGTTAAGATTTTCTGTTTAGTTTTTAATGGAACCGGATTCATTTCATTTGAGAAGGAATCCTAGTTTTGTTTCTATATGTTTGAATTCAATGAATCTGTTTACTTTGCTGATGATCGCGCTCTCTTTACGTTAATGTTGAATTGTTGTTTCTAGTTACTTTGCGTTTTTGCTTTCATGAGAAAAATGGTGCAGTTTTGATGAAAGAACGAGTAACATGTTGAAACAAAGTGTATTGCTACAATTACATTATCAAGATGAGCATCGAGAGAGGTCAAATTGCAACTTTAAAAAATATGGGCTTATTAGTTGTTTAATTTCAAAATTTATAAATTTTTTGATTGACTTTAGTGGTAAAAGATAGTGTTGTTCTCCCTAAAAATCTAGGGTTTGAGTAGCTAGGTGATGCAGAACATTGGGCCGCATCACATTGGCATGTTCAATGGATCGGTACTGATTCTTCATTTGACCAAGTTGAAGTTTGTAGCCAAAAGTTTTTAACCTTTGATTGTGTATGAAACCTCTTCCATGTGATATCTTGGACAAGATGAGATGACCCTGGACCCCTCTGCATCATCCAATTCACTTTCTTCTATAGCATGGAATAGCCAGTTCTAACAGTATATTCACTATTTGATGTACCGGGCTATATAATCCTGTCTTTATATTTTTTGAATAACAATCATTTCTAATTGTCTTCATATTTTAATTGTATGTTTAATCTCTACTCTGACATTTATAACTGTCTTTATATTCTTTTTAGAAACCTTTGAGAAAGCAGAAGTATATTTACAATGAAATTGTGCATTAAATTCTCATACAGTGAACTTTTTAGTTGAATTCATGACTGATGAGGATATTTGCAGTTGTCTTTTGGTCACAATCGAGTTTTTTTTTTCAACTTATTTTTTTTTCATTTAAGTGACATTAATATAGTGCCTTACGATTTTCTCAAAGTGCAGTTATGGATACCTTCCTATTCACTTCCGAATCTGTCAATGAAGGCCACCCCGACAATTTGTGACCAAGTTTCAGATGCTATACTTGATGCATGCCTAGAACAAGACCCAGAAAGCAAAGTAGCTTGCGAGACTTGCACCAAGACAAACATGGTTATGGTCTTCGGTGAGATCACGACTAAGGCCAAAGTTGATTATGAGAAAATTGTTCGTGATACTTGCAGAGGTATAGGGTTCACATCAGCTGATGTTGGCCTTGATGCTGACAACTGCAAAGTTCTAGTTAACATTGAGCAACAGAGTCCTGATATTGCTCAAGGAGTTCATGGCCACCTCTCCAAGAAACCAGAGGAAATTGGGGCCGGCGACCAGGGTCACATGTTCGGTTATGCAACAGATGAAACCCCTGAATTTATGCCACTAACGCATGTTCTTGCAACCAAGCTTGGTGCCAAGCTGACTGAAGTGAGAAAGAACAGGACATGTCCATGGGTGAGGCCTGATGGTAAGACCCAAGTGACCGTTGAGTATCACAATGATGGTGGAGCCATGGTCCCTGTTCGAGTTCACACAGTTCTCATTTCTACTCAACATGATGAGACTGTCACGAATGAGAAGATTGCTGCAGACCTGAAAGAACATGTCATTAAGCCCGTTATTCCTGCAAAGTATCTCGACGACAAAACCATTTTCCACCTCAACCCATCTGGTAGGTTTGTTATTGGTGGACCTCATGGTGATGCAGGGCTCACGGGACGAAAGATTATTATTGATACCTATGGTGGCTGGGGTGCTCATGGTGGAGGTGCCTTCTCAGGAAAGGATCCTACAAAGGTGGACCGTAGCGGTGCATACATTGTTAGGCAAGCAGCAAAGAGCGTGGTTGCCTCGGGTCTTGCTCGCCGTTGCATCGTGCAAGTATCCTATGCTATTGGTGTGCCCGAACCATTGTCGGTTTTCGTCGACACATACAAGACAGGTAAGATCCCAGACAAGGATATCTTACAATTGATCAAGGAGAATTTTGATTTCAGGCCAGGTATGATCTCTATCAACCTCGACCTGAAGAGAGGGGGCAAGTTTAGGTACCAAAAGACCGCTGCTTACGGTCATTTCGGACGCGATGACCCAGATTTCGCCTGGGAGATCGTCAAGCCTCTTAAGCCAAAAGCCTAACTTGGTTTGGTTATATTAAAATCTCAACAAATGATTATAGTAGCCGTGATTCTGGTATACAACATAAGAATAAAGAAACATGGGAAATTTTTCATATAAATTGTCTATTATTATTCCTATTCAAACTCTTTTAATGAAGAACACCATTCATGAATGTAACCACAAACGATCGTGAAGCCGCTCTTCGCTGGCACCGAACATCTTATCCACTCTTTCGCCGTCTCAATAAAAACAAAGTGTTGGTGTATAACGAATATGCTGCGTTGTTTCAGGGCATTCATCTATCCATATCTGCATAAACGAAAGATAGCTTTGGGAACTGGTTGCTGAACTTGCAAAATGCTGGCAGGATCTGGCTACGAACACGGCACCTGAAACACGAAAAAAATCGAAGAAATCAACCGAGTTAAATGAGTTAAACATCCACAATCAATGAATATCCCTCGTTTTCTCAATTCCTAGCTTAGTTTTATAACTACCCATTTTCAAATTCTGTCACGTAGACATTTAAAAAAAAAACAGCTTGTGTGTATGACGATGGTACTTAGCGAGAGGCACCATAATTAATCACAGCCTGCAAATACATTAAAAAAGAGAGTATTAAAGTGGGTTAAATTTATTCAATTTTAAGAAGATTGAATAAGTCCCAAATTTATCTTAAATAAAAGAAATCTTAAAACCCTAAAATCTATAATTACAAACCCCAAATATCAACTATTTTTTCTGTCGCCGTCGAACAATCACCCACCCATCACTGTCGCCTCTGAGGGGTGCTGATGCAGGTCTGTTAGATGCTCGTTGTTCGACGCAAAGGAGTGCAGTATTGATGTATCTAGTAGCTGCATTTGGACAATACTTATCGTGTAGGTCGGTGTTCATCAACTCCAACTGCTTATTACTTCTCCAAAGATCCCCCGCGCCTTAAAAAGAAAACAGTTTTAACTACTCGATTATACATTTCAACATACTTTACTAAATTTACAACACTTTACATATGCAATAAGATTGAAAGAATTGTTGAGATAGAGGCCAGTCCTCTTTTTGCCACTTGAAATCTCTAACAGCAAAACCCCGAAGCTGAATACATCTGATTAATTTCACTGAGAAGACACCTTCCAAAGCATACTCTGGAGCCATGTAACCACTGGATTGATCCCTGCTTATGACACCATGTGCATTGATGTTACGTATAACAATTCGACTGGTGGCTTGTTGTTCAGTGCCTCCGAAAATTCTAGCCATCCCGAAGTCAGAAATTTTCAGGTTCATATCCTCTTCCAACACGATTTTGTGCATGCGTGCATAGAACATTATCTCAGAAGAGCTCGGAAATAGCGTTATCTGCTGATAGTGATATGAACTCCAGTCATAGCACTCCCTTGATTGAATCTAATTCTAGTGATGCAAAGGGAGCTGACGGTCCTGAAAAGTTTTTTTGTTGAGAACTTTTTTCCCCTTTTAATGAATGACTTGATCACCAGAATTATCGAACACAACTGTACAAGTCCCGGAATTTGATTTCAGAGGTGCACTGAGACCAATCAATTTTATGATCCAAAAGGGGCAGAAGAATTCTGTTCGCAGATAACACAGACTATTCTCGACTCTGTACAAGGGGTTGATGGAGGATTGAAGTTCGACTGTCACAGGAGAGTTTGTTGCAGCATATACTATTTTGTAATCACCATATACTAATAAAAAAACCTATGTTGCCTTGCTGGCAAAGTATGGAGGTAAAGTCAAGTGCAAATCACATGATATGAATTTTAGATTTGGAAACACAAAAACAAATCAGCAGAATCACATTAGTTAAAAAGATTGGATTGCTGAAGAAATATTGAAAAATCAGAGTCTACCCTTGATTGATTGCCAACGACACCAAATACAAATTGTTATCAGTCCTAAACTGTCACTCTGGTTTTCACCATTGTCACAGCCGCTATAAATGTGTTCTTAAACATAATATCTTATGTCACCTTCACCTTTCCTTCTCCAGACCCTCTTTTTTCTACCATTTTCTACTCTGAAACCGACAGTCACGGTTGCACGAGTCGAATAAGCTTCTTATCTTTCGAAGCTTAGCGAGCAAAACAAACAACAGCCGATATTAGTCTAATTGACTTCGGAGAATGCCCCGGGATTGAACTTCTTGCACAATGCTTCAACAGCTGCTTCAACTCTAGTTGCATCCTGTAAACCAAAGCAGTCACGTGAAAAATGGGAAGCAACGCATTGGTATGAAGGTTAACGAGAAATGCTTTATGTTGCCACTTATATTTCTCCTGTACCTTGCCCTCAAAGCTAATCACGAGAGGACCTTGTCTAGATCTGCGGAAACAACCTTGACGATGCACAAAAACGAGCGATGTTTAGCAAAAGGCGTTAGTAAATATCATATCTGTCTGGAATCTAAATGATTGTTAATACCCTTCTTACCTATGTAAAGGTCCGGAAATTCAAGACAAAGTTTTGATAGGGGTTGAGCAATTTCCACCTGCATTTTTTTTGGCCGACCATGAACATGTTAAAAGCAAAATAATATCTATGTAGAAAAGAAATCATGTTAAATCTAATCCGAAAGGAAAGCAGATTATTGACAACAGCATGAGATTGTAATGTATACATCTGTTAGATTTGTTGTCAAGTGCTTTGTTGAGTATGGTTCGGTCGTCAATAAGAAGCCATCGGATCCGGACAATTCGATCAGACAATCCCACTGCTTGTCCAGCTCGGTAGAATTTGTCGCAGAAATTACGATTACATTACAACATTTGATCTACACAGAAGATCATCAGATAATCAATGATTCAGGTTCACTTTTTGTAGTAAGGTTTTAGACACCTACCAGGGGCACATCCAGCTTTTCATGATGCAATAGTTCAGTGATGCCTTCCGGTAACTGCGCCATCTGGAGAAAGAAAATACCAAATGATGAGATCCCATACCAAAAAAACATCTACCTACCAAGCATATCATGTAGAGCAGTGCTCGAGTTTTGCGGAACACAAATAAAGAAATATATGCGAAAAGTAACGACTAACAGCGCTTTAAGGCAGAATTATGGTAAAACCAGCTTTTGATCTCACACTGGTGTTCCTTATACAAACGCTAAAACGATATGGGATTTCATGGCTGTGTAAGTTTCCCATTAAAGAAGTAAATTTCACTTGTTTACCAGAAAAATAATCTCCCACCAGCGAAATATAACTTTATGGATGGGGATGATATATTCTGTCTGCTGGATGTTGAGACGAAATCCTTATATATAATGCCGTAAATCAATCTTCGAAGTAATTTACCTCATTCCGATCACCAGTGCATTGGTCACCAATAAGATGCCTTAGAAATTCCTCAAACTCTTCATCAGGAGCCTATAAAACAGGGTGACTTAACAAAGTTTACACAACATTTCTCACAATTAAACCATACGGTTTCGATTGTCAAAACAAAATTGCAGATTTAAGGCAAAATTCAGAAACTTATGAATACATTGGTAAGCTCTATGACACAGGCTGGCAATCTAAAAAAATACTTAAAATAAAACTACACACCAAGCGAACCCCAAATGCCTTTGCGACGCCTGCTAAAGTAACATCAGAATGCAAAGGGCCCACTCCTCCATACAAAAATACCTACAATAATTATTTGAAACGCATAGAGAATATTAAAAATCAACGTTCCTCATTTGCCTGATGCCATCACCATAAATAAACTGTCAAAAGTTTACCATGTCACTGGTAGATTTACATCGTTCAACCTCTTCAGCCACAAAATCTATCTGGCATTAAGAAAAGTCAAAAAGAAAGATGTAACTGTAAGATACAATTAGTTGATCGAGATTGTACAGTTTTCTAGAAAGCTCCACAAAGTTTCCACATAAGAAACTTTACGATCAGATGGCAACTAGATTATAAATTGAGAGGCCTACCCTATATGTATAGGGTGCAATGTGCAATGTGCAATGTACTATTTTGTTAAATAAGCAATGCCTCGCAAAATCACATTTAATCGAGGAGAAAAATAGAGATAGTAAACTCACATCATTCCTAACAACAGAAGCTTGTGATGTCAACCAACCTATAGAATGTAGCTTTCTGCACAATGAAAGTCCCAACTGATCCTCAACAGTGCCAAACCTGAGCTATGTAACAGATACATAGAATACCATAGGATTTCATCAATAGCGGTACATCGAGAAGAAGGAAATAGAAAAAGTTCAGAAATCTGGAAATATGAGGGAATATCTACACTGCACAATCAACCATTTAGAAATTTATATGTAGTTGTCGTTCCTTTCCCTCTTCGGTAACATTGAATGACTCGAGCAACCCCCATCAAAAACACCCCTCTAATATAAAAAGACCACGAAGGACTTACAGAATCTCATCCCCAACACCAATCACTGAAGAAGTAAACATCCTGTTTTTCAGTGAATTCGCACCATCTAGGCCAATGTTAACAGCAGGACAAAGAGTACCATCTAAAGAAGATTTCTTTTTAACTCGCCCTGCCCTTTCTAGTCTTCCATCAGAAAGCAAATATGCAGGTTTAAATTTTTCTTTGCTGGAGGTGCTGCTGATGGAAAGCAATGCATTTGGCACTGTATCGTGTATGCTCCCAATTGAAGTATAACTGTGAAAATATAGATGGCAATCAAATTGAGAATAGTTTGATGGTAACAAACAAATAACAAAAAGAAAAAAGAGCAATAGAGATGATATTTCATGCAAAATAAGAATCATTACCCTTGATCATAAAGACTACAGTATTGAACCTTGCAGGTTAAGAGAAAAGCCCATACATCTCTGCCAAAAAGCGATAAACAATTCAAATTTATCCCAAACCAAAAGCATGTGAAATGCAACAACAAAGCAACTTCATTCGCCCATCAAAATAGAGAAAGTAAGAGCAAAATAGTCTAAGCAACATTGCTCCATTTTTCCCACCCTTGTAGGTCCCATGAGATTTTGCATGTTGCAAAGAACTTTTCAATTAACAGTTACGAGGAGGATTTATTGAGAGACCTGTACGACCAGTCCAAGATAGGATTTACTCTCATGAAGGGTGGCCATCCTGGTGAACTAGGGGAAAACTGCTCTTGGCCTACCTGCAAGAATTTAAAGCCATGTATATACATGAAATATAAGCCTTTTAAACATATAAAATAACAGAATTTTAGAAGATGCAATAAAAGTAAAAAAATGGAAAATATATAGCTAAGGTATAATTGTATTATAAAAAGTTACCGCTGTAGGATCCCCAATTCGGACACCAAGAAATATCGCTCTGATAGGTTTATTCGTTAGCAAAGCCTCCAAACCAGACTTGAAATCTGAGCGGATGATATCCATTTGCAAGCCATAACTGGCCATAAAAGAAAGAACAACAAAAGTACACAGCTACGCATCAGAACCTGTAAAATATACTGAAATATAGAATGATAAATCTTTTTTTTAGAAAAAAGGAATTCTTACGTCTTGGACGTGTCATAGGTAAATGTATTTATTTCAGGGAACACTGAAGTGCTCTCAAAATAGATTGTTCGAATTGGAAATTCTGTCAGAATCCCATTAGAACAACTTTGTTCCACTCTATGCAAAAAATAGCCAGCCCTAAGAAGGTGCAGCAAAACCTATAACATCAAAGGATGCTGTCACTATCAACACAAGAAAATAGAATGGTTAATTGAAAAAATGTATGCTAAACTTACAGTAGAATCTTTTCCACCATTGAAGCTGAAAGCAACCTCTTCAATACTGCAGAAGAATTTTGTTTTAGAACTTACAAGCACCCGCAAACTTGCTTGTTGACAAACAAATAAAAATGATTTACTATTACACAGAAAGTCCATAAATAACATTAGAAACTACTTTCTAGTACAACAGGCCGCACAATGGCTCAAACCTACAATAAACTTTTTATAACATGAACAATAAAAGTGGATGCCGAGAAAATGATTACCAACAAACTGCACACTTATTTGTAAGATTGTATCAACTGTCCTAACTGTACAAAAATGCTTCAGGATAATATTTAGAATTGAGAAAAAGTTTTATGGTCATGTCATCCTTGTACCAGAGGTGGCCAAAAACTCCACAAAAACAAGCCAGCTATATCAGTCTTAACAAGCCTATTCTATCACCACGACTTTTCCTGCGACGTGCAAACACACAAAAAACAATGAAAGACAACACCCTCTCAGCACGACACGTGCAAAAGGACAGAGAAAACTGGAGTGCAGTAGGAAGCAACACGACAAACCATCATTAAATCAGATCCGATCAAAACAAACCAGATTAACGTCAAAAACATCCATACATGAATATTTGCATGTGTCCACTACTAAAATGATAACAAATGAAAAATGCAACTCCTACACTATATTGCAACAACAATGAATAAACCAAATTAATTTCAAAAGCATCCATATACGAATCTTTACACATGTACTTTACGCAAATGTTACCAGATCAAAAGTGATATCATGTCCGGTAAATTGCAACAACAATTAAAGCATTTCCTAATATGAATAATTCTCCCTGAGATTAACATTAAAAGCACTCCTATTTAGATATATTGGATTCAAAAGTTAAACCCGTATACTATTGAAACATCGCATTCCAATCGCACATTGATGATAATCTCAATCAATCGCTTGCTAGAAAATGTAGGATACCATGATCCACAAAATTACTATCAAAAACAAGAGAACCAAAAAAGGAAAATGGTCAACAAGGGTTTTTTTTCCACCACAAAAGAATAGCAATTTTCTCCCCTTATTTCCTCAATTTTTACCGACAACCAAATGGAGGAACCAATCAAATTCCTTTTGTTAAAACATTCAGAACCCAGTGAACACAAAATTCGATTAACGTCAAAGCTAGAAACTTCAGAAAAAAAAAAAGAATCAAGGGAACCCAGATGGAGGAAAGAACTCACGAGTAAAGAGCAAGAGCTCTTTTAATAACATAGATGGCGTTGTTGTACTTGGTCATAAGCCTCCTATCATCACTTTCTCTGATTGCTTTATCGATCTCCATATCTACACTGCCAAATCAAAAGAAGAAGAAAAATCTATTTAAGCAAATGGGGTTTATAAAAGCATCAACAGAATCACAAAAAAAAAAGGTTTAAACATTGGATCATTGGGAAATTAATTGCCTACTCTTTTCCTTTTTAGTATGAACTCTAAAAAAATCTGAAATTTCACCTTTTAGAAGAAAGGACTTTACTTGGACTTCAGAAAGCTCTAAAAACAGATTCCTCCTTTTGCCTTGTCACTTAATGAATGTGGGTTTTGTAAACAAACAAATTTGAAGAGATTTTTGTTGAAGGCGAGGGATGGGATTGCTTTGACGCCACAAATTGTTTATCTAAAGAGGGTTTTCTGGTTATCTTGATTTTGTTTGCATTGACATTTTGCTACAAAATACCAAAAAAAAATAGTAATAAACAGCAAAAAAGGAAAATAAAAAAAATGATGCTTTTAATTACCTACAAGAAAAGGAAATAAAATTGAATTTGAAGATTTGTGGGTTTGGGATGGAAATTTGCAATTATAAGAATTAGAAATTTTCAAGTTTTGATTCTTAAAATGAATGCCCAAAAGTTATTGGAAGGATGATAGTGACACAAAATATGCTTCATTATTAATATTGGAAAGTGATAATGTCACCATAACGTGTTTAACCAACTTATTTTTGTTTATTAATTAAAATTAATTTATTAAATTAATAATAAAAGTATAGGTTAAATAAATTTATATTGTCCTCCTATAAATTTATTTTTCATTATAGTCTCGTGTTATTTACCATTAGTTTTGACACTCTTATATGTGGGTGTTACGAGCATGATTTTCAGAATCGGATCGATTAGCGAATCGGCTATGTTATCGGTTCACTGGTTTAATCAGTCCAACCGGTCGACGACATAATTATTTAAAAAATTAAATAAAAATACCAAAAATATTTAATAAAAAATAATTTTGTATATCACAAGTCATATTCAAAGCAAGTCATAACATATATAAGTTAAAAATCATAAAATCAAGTGAAACAAAATGATTCAAATTAAATACAACATAATATTTAAGGTAAAACATATTAAATAATAAATATAACTATATAACTATAATAAAAAAATAAATTTGGGGCTAAAAAAATCATAACAAAATGATATTGTTTGGTTTAATTTTTTTTAAAACAATCTCACATGGTTAAAAAGCATAGAAGAGCATCCCAAAAGTCTAAAGAGTAAAAATATGAGAACAAAACAATCTTACATTGCTAAGAAACATAGAAGAGCATCACAACTAACTTCTATAAATAATATAGGTAATTTGACATTTAAAATCGTGGAGTCTTCTGGTGAGCATTGAGTGAACTATTCTTTCACTTCAATCAAGCTCAAATTTTAGGCTTCAATTGAGCTTCTAAATTTTTTTTAGTTCAAGCCTTTTTGAGTTCAAGTTTCAATATTATATTTCGAGTTCGAGTTGAACTTGATAATTTTTAACTTGTGAGTTTGAGTGGAGTTGAGCTTACTTTTAAAGTTTTCAAATTCGAGTTGAGCTCAACAATACTCGAGTTCGACTTGGCTCGTTTAACAAACGACGTTTGATTTAATTTTTAAAAAAAAAACAAAATTTTCGGTTTTTTCCAATTTTCAGCCGGTCCGGTTCAAACGGTTTAGTGATTCTGGCCGGTTCACTAGTAGCAATTTAACCGGTTTAGATTAAACCGGACTAGATAATAATTTTCGGTTAAACCGATTGAAGCAATCGATCCGGTTCAGTTTTCAAAACAATAGTTACGAGCCATAAAAAATCTCTAGAGTTTAGTCGCTAGGCACAAGATGAAACGTGCACCTTTTGTAGGTGAGACGTATTTTTTATGCTAAAAAAATTATGGATTAATTTTAGAATATATTAACACACGTTACCCACCTATTCGCTCCTAAATCACTTAATCTCCTCTCGTCATTCTATTCTTTTACCATTGCTTGTTCTGTTCATAAGAGTTAAGACTCATATTTAATCATTTTTTATTTATTTATAAATGATATAAATTGATTTTATAATCAATTTAGAATCTTCAAACAACTTTATAAAAAAATTAACTTTTACATTTAATAAAATTTATTAAGTAATAATACTAATTTAATATTCTATTATTTTAAAATTAATTATATACACTATTAAATAGATAAATTGAAAAAAAGTATAAAAATAATATAAAAACGTTGTATTTTTTTATCAAAAGCATAATAATCAGATATAAAAAAAATTGTATTGTATTGATGTGTTTTTGGTGAAAGAGGCTGTGAGCTTCTTATAAATAAATAAATAAATATTAGTTTTTTTAGACTTGAGCTATATATTTGGGTTGGTTAATAGGTTATATTCTAATATATAGGGGTGTTTGCGGTCGGTTTGGATCGATTTTTGGTTAAAAATTCATCCGATCTAAAAGTATAAATATTTACGGTTTGAATCGGTTTGGATGTTTCTAAAAAAAATTAATTTAATCCAATCCAATTAAGTGCGGCTTGATTCGATTTGGATTTGTGTGGTTTTTGGATTCTAATTTTTCAAAATAATTCTTATTTTTTCATAAAAAAAACATTTTATGTATAACAAAAGAAAAGATAATATATATTTTAACAAATACAACCTTGTGAAGCTTACAAAGAGAATATATATATTATAACAAATTAAGAAACAAATCAGTTTCTCGTCAGTAAGTCACCCATAAAAGTAAACGACACATTTTTTTAAGTTTTACCCGACAATTTTCTCTTTACCTCATAACTGAGGAAATACCAAAAGACTATACTATCATTATTTGCTATTATCATTTATTTCACCATTTTTTTCATTGTGTTGAAATAATTTTGATAATTCAGTATAACAAATTAAGTTAAATGAATTTTAAGATTTTCCAAAAGATTTTCTAAGTATATTCGATATAATTATTCGAATATCAAAATATTACTCCAAATCTTTCAAATGTCATTTTTAATCCTTACTCAAGTGTAAAATTAAGTTTTAATCTTAAAATAATTTCAAAACAATTTTACAAAGTATTTCGAACCATTTCAAAGCCAAAAATTCCAGATTGATCAGAGACAACTGATTCCCCCTGAATGGTTTGGCTCTGAGAAAAACAGAATGCTCGGAGGGAACCGATTCCCCCCAAGGGGTATCGATTTCCCACTGTTTAACGGTCAAAATATTTGAATTTTACACTTAGGGAACCGATTCCCCCATGAAGGGTACCGATTCCCCCCACGCTCCAAGCTGTTTTATTAATTGATTTCACACTAAAATGGCTCAATTGACTCCACTAATCATCCTCAATGTTCAGAATCATTTGAAGGTGTATTTAAACAAACTTAGAAGCCATTGATCAACAATAAGAAACAACAATCATCAAGAATTGAGAGAGAATCAAAGAGAAAGCATCAAACTCATTGTTTGAGCACTTTAAGCCTATTTTTTATTCAATATTCATTGTGCTTTCAAGAACACCATTTGTGCTCTATTGTATTTATCTTTGAGTGTTCTTTATTTGTTCTAGAATTGTGCAAACAATCTACCTTGTGAGGTTTTCCTTGTAAGTTTGCAAATTTGTGTATTTCTCTTTGAAAAATAGTGTGCTCAAGAATTTGGGGTATAATTCTTGAGGGAGTTGTAAGGTTACTCTTTGTCCTCAAAAGAAAGAACAAATTAGTGAATTTGTTGGAAAATCCTTAGTGTGGATAGCTAAGGTAGTGGACATAGACTTTGGTTGAGAAAGTTGAACCACTGTAAATCGTTGTGCAAATATTTTCAATTTTCTGCAAAAGCTTCCACCAAAATTTTAATTGCCAATTCACCCCCCTCTTGGCCAATTCCATCGATCGCTTAACTCAACAATTGGCATCAGAGCTTGACTCATTTGAAGGTTTAACCGCCTCTTGAGTAGATCCGGGAAGAGTTAAATCGATAAAGATGGCGTCTACTTCCGGTTTATTCTCCATGGAAGAATTCAGAACAATTGACGTGCCTCCACACTTCAATGGAACAAATTATCGTCGTTGGAAGAAGCTTATAATGACATTTATCCAAGCATTTGATATGGAAGCTTGGATGATGATTGAGAAAGGATATTATTATCCTACAAAGAAGGCAAAGAAGTGGAGTGATCAAGAACGGGAGAAAGCTCAACAAAATACAAAGGCTATGCACATGTTGTGTTGTGCAATTGATCCTAATGTATATAAAGGAGTTTCTTCTTGTTCAAATGCCAAGGAGATGTGGGATAAGCTTGAGGAGTTCTATAGAGACAAGGAAGAAGAAGAACCAATATAGGTGATGTCTCTATTAGCTCTCACAGAGCCAAATGTATCTTCTAACTCAAATAGATTAAATTCAAAATCTTTTAATGAGTTACAAGATGCTTATGATGAATTATTTTCGGAGTTTGAGACCATGAACTCCAAATACAATAAATTGATTTCTAAATTTATTGCTAAAAATGATCTTCTTTTAAAAGCTAAAACAGACTTGGAAAATTAAAATGAAATGTTGAGAAAGGAGTTAGAGTTTTCAAAAATAAAATCTGAAAACTTTGAAAAAGAAATTTTCAAATTAAACAAACTTCTTCTAGAAACGAAAATGGATTTTGAAAATCAAAATGAAATCTTGAAGAAGGATTTAGAGCTTTCAAAAATTTCGATTTGAAAGTATTGAAAAAGAAAATTTCGATTTGAAAGTTAAGCTTGAATGTTTAACAAAAGAAAAAGATATCATTTTAAATAATTCAACTAGTTCAATAATGACAATATGTTCACATTGTCATTATCATGGTCATAAGGAACATACTTGTCCTTTAAAGAAAGGAAAACGATTTAAAATTAGATAATTATGGGTTCCAAAAGGAACAAGACGCATTAAAACTAATGTTCAAGGATCCAAAGCAATTTGGATACCAAAATCTACTTAAATGTCTCTTGTAGGTGTGTGGGAGAAATGGTGATGAAGATGATGATATTCAAGATGCTCTAGCCACACATGAAAAAGGAATGGGTAACCTTTAAACTTAATGTTTTTATTTTATTTGGTTGCTCATTTAGTTTATGCATGCATGAGGCTTTAAATGTTGAATAATTCTAAATGATTATGTTTTATCTCATGTATGTTGAAAAATATTGTATGATGAACATAGTAATTTTTGGTAATGTTTTATAAACTCTAGTTCATCATATTAATTTTTGGTCAAAATTGTTTTTGATATATCTTTAACAATTAATATCGATTTTTTTCAAGAACTTTGGTTTTTGTAAAATTTTGACCTTAATTTTTTCTTAATGTTTATGCATCTTTTTGTTTTAATGCATAAGATTTTCAAAAACTTTATGCATGTGCTTT